AAAAGTCAATTAATTTAAGACAAACAAGCGAATATACGCGAATATTATGGTGAATATACGGCCTCCAATACAGCGACAAGATGCGGCGAATTCGATCCTCGGCTTGCGTCATGTGATATGTTCTAGAGGTCTGGACACGAATGAATTTGGCCGGGGGGTTGTCTTGTGTTAGCTTAATTAATATTGGCGGAGATTTGACGCTATCGTTCAACTCCGCCAATATTCAACATGTGGTAATTTTTTTCAACATATTTTGAACGTTGAAGTTGTGATGGGTGCTAAATTCGCGGCATGTTCGATGTCCGGTTTAACTTCAATGTCAAAAACACATGGGTGTTCAATGTCAGATTTAACTTCAATGTCGAAAGCACGTAGGTGTTGAATGTCCTATTTATATTTTCAAATATATTTATTGAGAACATTACATTATATAATTAATATTATATATAATTATATATAATTAATATTATGTATAATTAATATGAACTCAAATGGCATAAGCACAAACGAGACGCGAAGTCCCATGCAAGGTGCAAACCCCGAAGCAGCGAATACGTACATAAATATAAATACACACATACATAAAATACAAATATATAAAAGCCGCTTCACCCTATTAGTATGACCATGAACGCAACCACCTGAATGCTTCACGGATGTGTTAGCAAAATAATTTCAAACTCAATGTCGAAAATATGTTGAATGTTCCGCATGTTCAATGCCAGATTTATCTTCAATGTCGAAAGCACGTAGGTGCTGAATGTCCTATTTTACTTCAATGTCGAAAGCATGATATACATGAATATTGGCGGTGATATGACGCCATACAGAAATGGATTCGGAAGGTCAAATTGTACCTACACGCGTGAGTTTGACGTCATCCCGGCCACAGGAGCTTCTTATTGGCCAATTATTGCGCAATGTACGCGAGTGCGAGTAAAAACCCGATATCAGCCGATATTTTGAAAAATTCAAAATAAATATTTCTACTGGCCGTATTCATACGAAACTTTCTACACGAAAGCGCTTGAATACAAAGAGTGTTTTACTCATATAGCCTTTTAGAAAATGACAAAAAGTTTAGAAAATATTCAACTTTTTCTCGATATCCAATACAGAATGTTTTGCCAAGCGGTGAGTACAAACTATGATTGTTTCGGTTTGTGTAATGTCTTGACGGCACTTGACCCCCCGTTCGAAAGGTTATTTTGTGATGATCTCAATGGTGGGTTTTGTTTTAAAGGGGGGTAAATACCCGCCGAGATATTTACATTAGAAATATTGATTCGTAATGTAATGTGAAACCGCGTGTCGGCAAGGGGATGCGAAAGAGTTTTAAATGCCCAACTCTAAACCTTTCAAAGATTGTAAAAATGTAATGCTATTTTCACACTTTGTTTGTGGAATAATCTTCTCAATGGAGCAACTTGGCTCTTTTGGTTCGGTGTCGGAAATTTTGCTGTAAAGAGTTGGAACTTTACCTAGGCTAAAAATTATGTAAATAACTAATAAAGTTTTTAGCTAAAGTAGAAGATCCTAACTTATTCAGATGCAATTTGGATCTGTTAAGCGACTTACTGAGGATATTGTTGTTATGTATAATTAAATTTAAATTAGTCGCAGTACAGTAATCTGCTAACAAACGATTTACCTCTTGAACAGTTGTTTTGGCCTTTGCATTGTCCTCTCTGTTGGTCAATTCAGACAGTATTATTTCAACGTTGGGATCAATTTCTTTGACCTCTTCGCATATTTTGTCGATGTCGTTAACTATCTCGCTTGCTTCTTTGTTGGTGGCGTTGTTTGTTCCCACATGTAGAATAACGGTATCTGGCTTTCGACGTAGCACGGGTTTTATATAATCGCTCATATCACCAACAGTCGCTCCTGGGAAGCATTTCACACCCACGTTCTGCTTTGCTGCTTTCGAAAGTTTGTGTTGCTGCAAACCTTTGACAATCGAGTCTCCCACTATTACAGTCTTTTTGTTGTTTTGTACTCTTGCTTGCTGACACTTGCTTGCTGGCGGTTTATCTTTGCTCTCGTTGCTTCCATCGCTGCCAATTCGGTTTTTTATCTGCATCTCGTCGATAATTCTGCAGGATTCATTTAGGTCATCTAAGACCAGAAAGTTGTTTTGGCACCATGTACATTCAGCTACTCCGCCAGTTGCATTGCCGTTTACGTTTGATGTGATGTTACTGCTTATTGTTCTATTTCTGGTCTTCGGTACTGTATTCCAGCAATTGCCTTGCCCTTTAGTCTTAGTCGAAGGATTAATATTGTCAACGGATTGGTCTTTTAGTATAGCATTTTTATGCTATTCGTTTTTTTTATTTCAATTTGTAGCTTGCTTATTTCTTCGTTCGTACATTTAGTCTTTGTGCTTTCGCTCGACATTTGGCTTTGTAGGATGACTATGTCCAGTTTTATCGCTTCAATTTCGGTTGTCATTGATTTACTCTACAAGGACAGTTGTCGGTAGGTACGTTTAGGTTTTCGCTAGTAGATGATAAACTAGTAAATGGTTGCTGTTGACTGTCCATAGTAACAGCGAGGATACTGTCGGCTTCGTCTGGAAACCCGCCATTACCGGATATGTTTCCATCTTGCTGGATGAAAGATTGAGGCTTTTCTTTGGCAAGTAGATCTATCAGTTTATTCTTTAAGCCGTCTGCCTCCGTACCTTGAAATAACAAGATGCATTGCTTCTTAAAATACCAATTTAGTATAAGTTGGCCATTTTCTTCCTTGAATCTTTTAGTACCGCCACCGGGCGACGACCATTTGCCTTTCATACCAAGACTATCTTCGACAAATTTTTTTAGTTCCGCAAAATCATTTCTCCATTTGAGCTTCTTCCATCATATTCGAGATTGGAAAGGCCTTGCCCTTCAGCTTTGATTTGGTCTAAACACTTCACAACCTTCATCAAAAAGTCATGGACATTTTGTAGAGCTCTGTAAGACACGTCCGCACAGTCCGAGCGCTTGTTGCCAATGTCTACTGAATACTGTGAATCACCTTTAAATAACAGCAACATCGGTTGCATTGGTCTAGAGATATATTTTCTTGTAATGTTTACGACGACGTCGGTAATATCGACAACAAAATTACCGATATGGATATCGATGCATCACTATTTTGCAGACCGGCAATCTTCATTGTAACCTACAGTTATATTAAATGACCGTATAGACGGTATATAGTATATACATGAAGACCATATATAAGTCAAATGTCATATTATTTCATTAAATGGGTAACTATACTCCACAGTTCCATAGTATAGCTCTGAAAACACATTATGCCCAGGGACGCCGGAACGATAATAAGGCAAAGGGGGGCGGACGCACACCAAGGGCACCGCACCTCTATAGAGCAAAACTTCAAAATCTACCGGAAATTTTTTTTTCAATGGAAATTTTTGGACGACCCC